ATTTTAAAGTTTTTTGGGTTAAATATAATACTTTTAGTTTATAACTATATACTACATATACAAATAACGCATATATACAAATCAATAAAATGAGTTTGTCTAGTGAAGCAAAAAAACGTCTTCATGAATCATTACAGCAACAGTGCTTAAATCAAAAGTCAGCCGAATATAATGAAGCAAAATGGCTTTTTATAGGTTTAACAGATCTTGATTATAAACCCGGCTATAAAGAACATATATTTTATAAATACTGGCTTGCATCCAGGCCCGAAGGGGCGACCCTAAAGGGTCATGGCCATACTGATAAAAATGATACTGCACTTTTAGATGCATATCGACCTGAGGAGATTCATTCTCAATATATAATTCAGATGGCAGGAAAAGGTTATACAACGATCGATCATCCTAGCGAAGTTTATAGAATACCTGATACTCATGAATGTATCGATGGGAACCAGCCCCTCCGCTTAATTATCGATATTGATACAAGGCAAAAGCCTGATTCTACTAATTCTAAACTTCCTTCTCTAGATGGTCAAAAAATTACTCGAGAAGATTTGTTATCTCGAATTTTAGTTGCTTGTGCAGATGCATTAAGCCTTATTCCAGAATATATGCCTTTCTTAAATTCTTTTGCTTTAACAAGTTCATCAAATACTGAGAAATGTAGTTGGCATATCATTTATCCTCGGGCCCAATTCGTAGATTATAGAGAACTCAAGGGTTTTACAGAAAAAGTTATAGAATTAGTTGGAGAACTTTATGCCAAATTCATTGATGTCGGCCTTCCCAAATCACGTTTTAGTTTTCGACTTCTTGGATCGGCAAAAGAGGGACGCATAAAAAGACCTGCTATCTCTTCCGTAAATAAGGGATTTAAAAATTTAGATGATTACCTGGTTCAGCCTAAAGAAAATTATTCTGTAATCTGGCTACGAACCTTTTTGGAGGAGAGGCCAGCAGAAGAAGAATACCAACCTATCGACGATGATAATGCCTTGGTTAAGGAAGCCAATTTAGTTATTGCAAATTACGGGTGGCTCCAGATTGGAAGAATCGAGAAGGGATTTATCAACTTTCAAGCACAATCCATTAAAGAATGCCCTATATGTGACGTTAAACATGAAAAAGATCAACTTTATGGATTTATTCGACAAAATGGGCATTTTATACTTAAATGTTATCGCCAAAAACAATATAAGCCGGATCATAAAGGATTAAGCTTTGACAAGGTATCAGATAAAGTAGAATCGAAAGTGAAACCTAAATTAAGATTAGATAAACGAATAGCCAAAGCTGTGTCAAATCCTCATTTGCTTCCTGAATTATCTGGAGAAGTTATTAATGTAAAGGAAATAGAAGATTTTCCAGAAGCTTATCCCAATTTCTTGAGCAAAGAACCCAGTACAGTACAACTTTGATTCGCTCTCCTATAATGACAGGAAAAACAAAAGGTCTAAGAAAATATCTCAATTATTTAGCTAAGAATAAAGCTAATATGCCTTGCGTCATCTGGATTTCTTACCGAAAAACTCTTAGTAATGAATTAATGGGTAAAATTAATGATCTTAAATTATCTGGACTCAGAATCTGTAATTATCAAGATGAACAGAGCTTGTCTATAGATAAGTGGGATATTATCATAGTTCAAGTTGAAAGTCTCT